TGTTGCCGGTCACGAAAAAAAAAAAAAAAAAAAAAAAAAAGATTAAACTTATAAGTATATAAGAATATGCAAGCAGAACACATTTATCATGTCACGGGTTGATACAACTAGCTCATATAGAAATGGTCTCAGGAAAGGATATTTTCAGGAACAAGGGCTAAAATTTTATCCCAGCTTTCTTTATTTTCAAGAATATCTTGGTCAACCAAGGCATACTTTTCAAAGTATTTTTTTATTATGTTTATAGATCTTCTGTAGGAACAGCAATAACACACCATTAGCAACACATATGCCACATAGTTACTATTACTGGGTGGGAGGCTACTGCTTATTCATTGAATTTCTAGAACTTAACTAGGTAAAATGGGAATCTCTTTCCAGGGTTTGAGAATTAAATGAGACACTTTTAAGGGACAGAAAGCAACCAACCCAGGACAACATATCAGTAGTACTACGTGGGATACAGTCTACAGTTTCTACTCTGAATTGCTTGTTTTAACATCTCAACAATTATATAATGCTTGTAGTTTGCAAATATACTTCACATCTACTGTTTCATTTAATCTTTGCCACAACTCTTACAGGTAGAGCAGATGTTATTCTCTACATCGTACAGATAAGAAAATGGAAACTCAATATTTTATCAAGTTCATAGTAAGTGGCAGAATAAGGATTCTGACTCCTCATGTAATAATGCTCTTTCCACTATCCTAGATAAACGGTGAATTCAATGGAAAGAACATGAGTTTTTGAGTCAGGCATGCCAGGACATGATTCCTAAATTTAACAATTACTTCTTGTGTGATACCAAGCAAATTACATAATCTCTCTAAAACTCACTTTCCACATCTATAAATGGAGATACCGTCATGTCTCTCATGAGGTTTCTGTGAAGACCAATGAGAACTGTAAGAAACCTATCATAAATACTGTAGCATAAAATAGGCACTCAATTAACTGTAGCTATTATTATTACAAAATGTTACCCAGAAGTGAAAATTGATAGCAAGGTAATTCTAAAAGCACATGCAGGTAAATCGGACACAACTGAAACTGCATGGAAAGTCTTTTCCAACAGACCTGACAAAAGGGTGAATTTTTTCACTTAGGTGAACTTTTTTCTTAACATCTTGACCGCCCTGAAAAACAAACCATAGAAAAAGAACTTTATATTATTTATTATAAATGAAATAATTAAAAAATTTCTTTAATGTGTTCTATTATATTTAAAATTATGTATATTCAAAGATACTGATTAAATTCTGTCAAAGTATAGAAGCTTGGATGCTATTTTATATAGTCTCTATACCTGTAACTTTCTGGGTTAACTTCACTTGACATAATCGAACTAGAAAAGTTTATTAATCTTCCCTTTGCCCCAAAGGAGGATACTTAGAGCAAAATATGAAGTATCTTTAAAAATGTAGCTACCATGACTTTAAATCATCTATTGGTAAGATCATCTACTCTGGAATGTGAATGCTGTGAAAGATAGTTTACTTTTCTTTGTTACAAAACATACCAGGCTTGGGTAACATCTAATAAACAAAGAAATGTAAATTATTATTAAGAGGACCTTACCTTTACAAGACTTAAATACTCAACTATCCCAGAACGTACTGCAGAGGACAGTTTTCTAACTGATTCATCACAGACCCAACAATGAACACCTCTCCTTCCAGAATATACCCAGAGACGATGCTTAAATCCAAAGTCCTCTGAGGAGGGGAGAAATAAAAAGTTTTAAAACAAATATATAAACTTCTGATTCTTGTTTACATCCTTAGCTTCATATTTTACCTGTTTTCCACATATATGCTCACCTTAACCATACTAAATTACTTGCAGTTTCCTGTGCCTCCCATGTTCTTGCTTTCATGTCTCTACCCATTCTGGTCTCTTTGCCAAGAATTTCTGTATGCCCCAGAACTTCCATCTGCCCCTGACCAATCACCATTTATCCTTAAAGACTTAGTTTAGGAATAATAAAAGAGTTAATATATTTAAAGTGTTTAGAATAATGTCTGACACATAATAAGCCTCCTGTGTAAGAGTGAGCTACCATCATCATTATTATCGTTACCTCTTCTGGGAAGCCTTTACTGACCCAATCTCCTCTCCTATGCACTCTGCTGTTCTATATCCCCATAGCATCCTTTGCATATTACTTAACACAAATGTAATTCTCAATTTCTTATTGGTCTCCTTCTTAGACTGTGTAACATATTTTTTATTTCCCTCATCTAGAACAGTACCTAACACACAGAGTTGCTCAATAGATGACTGAATTAAAAAACAAAAATACACTGGCTTGTTCAATAGCTGTATTAAAGTTTCCACTATAACTATATTCTGTCTTTTATTTTCCTCTCATATGTTTCAAGGAAAAATATTAGAAATTTATGAGATTTGATTATAAAATTCAGAGGGTGATATTCATAGGAAAACAGATTCTTGCACTTGATCCCACTCAGACACTGCTGATACTTGCCCTTCAATGCTCGGTCGATGATGTGTATGGCCATTATCATGAGGGTCCAACACTTAGAACATATATCTGCAGAACTGGAGCAAAGTCATCATTACTCAATGTCAGTGATATCACCCACCCTAACAACAAGGCACATGGTGCTTACCTACAACATCTCCTCACATCGTCATAGTCTGTCATGTCAATGTCAAACACCAGTTCTTTTTCCTGAGCCTGGAAAGCTCCCAGCTTCACTGTATTGTGTTGATTGGGCTACAAATACAAAATATTGGTCAGTTTTATAAAAGCTGTATTGTTGGTAATCTGCTTATTTTCTACCCAGATGGAAAAAGTGGCCAAAGAGAAACAACGAAATTATATAACACCAAGTCTATGTCAGGTAAAGTTCATTACTTGGGTCCCACACATCCAGAATTGATAACAGTTTTAACTTTTACCTACTTAAAACAAGGTTTGGTTAATCTGTATCCACCATAAATATATATATATATATTTTTAAAGATGACCAGTAAGGGGATCTTAACCCTTGACTTGGTGTTGTCAGCACCACGCTCACCCAGTGAGCAAACTGGCCATCCCTATATGGGATCCAAACCCGTGGCCTTGGTGTTATCAGCACCGCACTCTCCCGAGTGAGCCACAGGCCGGCCCTAAATATTTGTTGTTCTACAGAAATCATAATACAGATGTTTTTAGGTTGCTGGTAAGGAAAAGTACATACAAATGATGCCCTATTGCAAGATGTTTTAAGGACCTTTAACTTGCTATAGTATATACAAGTAAAAAATATATATTTACTTAAAAATTTTTAATAATTCAAAAAGATCTCCCAAATCAGTTTGAACTGAGACATAATTATAAAGAGGCTATGGTCTACCAGGTAAAGAAGGTGAACTGAGTACAGGTACTTATTTTGCTCCCTCCAAACCCCAAAGAAATGATAGTAAAGGGTTTGTTTGTTTTTTAAGCCTCTTAAAAAAGAACCAGAGAGGACACAATACCACCACAATTATTACAACTGTATATCAGAAGGGAATGGTAACTGAGGAGAGACTCATAAAAGCTGAATCTTAAGCTGTCAGTAAGGAAAGATAAAAAGCAACTCAATTTATACCTCAGAATCCCCAAAAGGCTTAGGAAGAGGTGACAGCAGGTATCTCTGGAATAAGTAAGTGCGTGTATGTGGTGGTGAAGCTGAGATTAAAAACAGGATTGGTTCAAAGTTTATTTAAGAAGCAGTTAGCTTTTCAGATTCCTACACTTACCCTGCAGAGCTAAGTGACTGCTCTTCCATTTCCCTGGCAGAAGACAAGTGAATTATTATCTAGAGAACATGAAACAGAGGGTTTCTGGATTGGGGGCACAGCAGGCATAGTTGAAAAAGGGTATATTGTACTGTTATTAGGGTAGACAATTGTATGTAGAATGTTGAGTCCCAGCCCTTTCTCTCCACTTTTATACCCTTCCACTGCCAACCCAGGAAGGAGACTGGAAGAGTCCCCTCTGAAGAATCTGACCAGATGTGCCAGGCACCGTTCCAGGCTCTATAGGTAGATCAGTGATCAAAACAAAGATCTCTGTGCTAGTGAAGTTTTCATTCTAGCAAAGATCTAGAGAAACTGACACCAGAGATTCCCTAAGAAGGCCCAGCCAGATCACCCAGCAGTAAAGAAATCTCAGCCATGTGTACGGAGATTTCAATCAGCTTTTTGGTACTCCATTCTTAAACATAAGCAACAAGCAAAAATATACCAGACATGTGAGGAAAGCCTCTAATATGAAAGAGAAGGGGGAAAAAAAAACGGGGAAAAAAAGCAAGTTAGAGAAAACAGACTGTGCAACAGAAAAACTATCATTGATATCCTCAGAGAGATAAGACATATCAATGAAAAATTACAGAATTTTCTAAAAAAAAAAAAGCTCTTGGATGGGCCGAGCCCGTGGCACACTCGGGAGAGCGGCGCTGGGAGCACAGTAGTGCTCCCGCCGCGGGTTTGGATCCTATATAGGGATGACCGGTGAGCTCACAGCGCGCACTGGCTGAGTGTGGTGCGGCCGGTCTCAAAAAGGACAAAAAAAAAAAAAAGCTCTTGCAAAGTAAAATATAATAGCAGATATGAGAACCTCTGAGGAAATTCCCCAAAAAGTACAGCAAAAAGACAGATGAAAAATAGAAGGAAAAGAAAATAGATTTAGATCAGTTCAAAAAGACCCAACATCTGATTTTAGGATTTCTAGAGAGACCAAAGAAAATATGTCAGAAAAATTATGTTAAAAAAAAAAGATTGTTAGGCCAGCCCGGTGGCACACTGCTACAGTGCGCCGCTTGGGAGCGAGGCGGCGCTCCTGCCAAGGGTTCAGATCCCACATACAGACCGGTTCCCGCTCACTGGCTCAGCAAGGTGCGGGCACAGCGCCGAGGGTTGCGATCCCGTTGCCGGTCCCGGTCCGGTACGGGCGCGACACTGAGGGTTGCGATCCGTTGCCGGACACGAAAAAAGACAAAAAGGAAAAAAAAAAAAAGATTGTAAAAATCAGTAAAAACTGATTACATTGTATAATGACAAATACAGTAATTATCCTGATTTGAGCAGCACATATTGCACACAGGTATTGATATTCAACACTGTACCCCACAGATATGTAAAATCAATTGTTTCAATAAAAAAAGAAAAAAAAGGGCCGAGCCCGTGGCGCACTCGGGAGGGCGCAGCGCTGGGAGTGCAGCAGCGCTCCTGCTGTGGGTTCGGATCCTATATAGGGATGACCGGTGCGCTCACAGCGCTCACTGGCTGAGCGCGGTGCGGCTGGTCTCAAAAAGGACAAAAAAAAAAAAAGCTCTTGCAAAGTAAAATATAATAGCAGATATGAGAACCTCTGAGGAAATTCCCCAAAAAGTACAGCAAAAAGACAGATGAAAAATAGAAGGAAAAGAAAATAGATTTAGATCAGTTCAAAAAGACCCAACATCTGATTTTAGGATTTCTAGAGAGACCAAAGAAAATATGTCAGAAAAATTATGTTAAAAAAAAAAGATTGTTAGGCCAGCCCGGTGGCACACTGCTACAGTGCGCCGCTTGGGAGCGAGGCGGCGCTCCTGCCAAGGGTTCAGATCCCACATACAGACCGGTTCCCGCTCACTGGCTCAGCAAGGTGCGGGCACAGCGCCGAGGGTTGCGATCCCGTTGCCGGTCCCGGTCCGGTACGGGCGCGACACTGAGGGTTGCGATCCGTTGCC